TCGTGCCTGTTGAGTCAGTCTCGTGCCTATTGAGTCAATCTCGTGCATGTTGAGTCAATCTCGTGCCTATTATGTGCTATTTTATAATGATCAGTTCCGAGGCTAACAGGCACGGTACGAGTAAGGTCGGTCCCGGGGTGTTTCACATAACAGGCACGGAACTTCTTTCTTCCGATGTGAGAAGAATCTCACTTCCAACTTGCCAATAACAAACTATCTTACATTATCTTGGCTGTTGTACTTCACAGTAAATTTGATATTATGGAGGACTGTAGTATCGATATTTAACATTTTCACACCGATTGAAATGTCTCATTTAAGCATTGCATTTTTTTGGATCATCTCTTTGGAATCTAGAGCCTATTATTTAGGAGAACACATGGTCTACTTTAATTACACGCCTTCTTTTTCTTTGTGGGTTACAGATATCCAATCTGGTTCAGATTTTGTTTCAACGGCCAAAAGACATTGTTCGGAAGTTGGTATAAGGTGATTTAGACCTTGGCATCATTGCTGTCGACACAATCAGTGAATATTGTCAAGTAAGAACCGAATGTTTCAGCTTATTTGTCCATATGAAGCATAAAAAAGAGCCAATTATGATACAAACTTAAACTAATTATATTAGTTGCTGACGTATTTCTGTGGCAGGGGAATGAAGATCTCATCATTGTCCATGATTCCCCTGACTATGCCCATTGTCGTTGTGCTTTGCGATATTATTTGCGCTTTTTAAATGCCGATGATAATTATATAACTGGATTGTCATTGAATTTATGGTTCTATATAATAACAGCATGTCACATTATGATTGAACTAATTGTACATCATTCTCTACACTTTTTAAATGTCGGTGATAATTATATAATTGGATTGTCATTGGATTTATGGTTCTATAATTGGGAACTTACCAACAGCTTGTCACATGACGACTGAACTAATTGTACAACTGTCCATCTAAAATACCTATTCGTGCTGGTGCGGTACATCTTTCTTTGCCATATCTTATTATATGATCCAAAGATGAATTTTTCCATAGTTAGGTTATATTATTTCCCGAGAAAAGCTGAAATTCAATGAAAGAGCTAACATCTTCACCATTTCAGATCCTATTTTTCACTTGGGGCTAAGTTACATATTTACACTGGCTGAAAATCTGCCTTTAAGAATCATTTAGATGATGATTGAATGTTCTCTCATGTTTAAAGTGGTTCTCAATTAAGGATCTTTGCAAGTGAAAGGTCCTAGCAAGAATTTGTTGCTGTATCTTATAACTATTCATATGCAAAGTGTATTCAATTATTAGAATCTTATAAATGGAAAGGCATCGTTAAAATGGAGTTTCTTTTGATAAATGTTTTCTTTCTATTGCTCTTTCTTTTGAGTTGTTTATTTTGCTGTCAACAAATTAGTTATTGTACACTTATGCTACCAAATAAAAGTTTAATCTCTTTGTTGTCTTCTTGCCCAACAGGAAGAAAATAAAAAAATAAAGAGATTGTGCTGGAACATACAGAAAATATATCAGAATATTACCTGATGGTTTTTATTATGCACAGGTGCTACCTTCTATTTCCGCCAATTCGGATGATTTGTATTACGGATATGTGCTAAGACTTATTCTACTTTTGCATTTCTCATATCAGCTTGTTGTCTCGGATATCAAGCAAAAACATTCTGCTTCCTAAGAGCACACAAACTATCCGGGATGTAATACAGCTTGTAGAATTGCATATTGATTTAGATACTTGCACACTATCTTTTTGATGTGCTTCATTCCTATTTGACTTTTGATGCAACTTTAAAGTTAATCAATTGTGTTCTTACTTTTGCAACATTTTGAATCAGATTGTGTGGTATTTGTTCAAATTTGTTCACGTTCAGCGAAGGAAAGTTTTATACATTAAATCAAACACTAATAAAGTCGGGCTGCCTCCAACTAGTGTGTATCATAAGCGTGAGCTTTCCAAGGTGGACCATTACTACTGATTCACAAAATTATGTCTCGAAATGTTTTTTTTTTAAAACTAAATGTATTTTCATTAATCACCAAAGTGAAGAATGTCTCGAAATGTTGTTGGCATGCACAGTATGCATATGTCGAAAGAGTTTAAGTTTGCATTAATGATGTAAAAATAACGGGCTGGTGTGCAGTGGAAGGATAATAGGTTGATGTTCTTCAAGTCCAACAAATGGACCAAGTGCATCAATAGCCACTTTTAAGTCTGTTGTTTAAAATATGTTCACGATTTAAAATGTATTTAAAAATTAGTCAATTTATCCAAACTTCCAGACTAAGTATCCTGAATTTGAAAATTCAGGACTAAGTGTCCTGGACTTTTGAGCTGCTAATTTGAACTATTAATTTAAAACTCAGGAGCCGAGATTCAAACTCCTGGACACAATTTTTAAACTTTAGGACACGACGTCCTAGAGTTTAAACATCAAAGTTTAAACTTAGGACATAGTATTTTCAAAAAAATTGAGGAATGAGTAGTAGTTAATAATATGTGTAACAAAAAAAATATTGTATTTTTATTGACTTAGTATAGTGGTTAAATAAAAATAAAAATATATTTTTAGTATAATGGACAATCAAAAGTGAACAGAGAGAGTACTTGAACTTGGGCCGGGCCGGACCGGAAATTAGATTAATATTTTTATTTTTTATTTCTATAACAGAAAATCAGTTTTATTCTGAATTTTAAAATTTGAATAAACAGACACATGGGCAGGGCCGCATATTAAATTAATGTTTTTATTTTTTATTTCTACAACATAAAATCTATTTTATTTGAATTTTACAGGAGAATCTCTACAAAGTAAGTTAGAAAAATCGGCAAGTATTAAATAGTGGCTTATTATATCTTGAAGAAGATTGTGTGTGTTTTTTCCAATTCTGTATACGGACAATAACTTCTTTAAATAAAGTCGTTGTTCTTCGCCTCAAGCCTTCTCAATCTCGTTTTCACTTTTGTGATTATTTTTTAACACCTATAAGGATTGAGGGAAGTGAGATTCGGACCTACCCATGTGGTAATCTGTCAATGTTGGTAAGGGATGTCTGAACTGAACAAACAAAGAAGAAGCAAACATTAATCTCAGTAAGAAACAGAACAAAACCAAATATATAAGGACGCCTCTTTGCAGCTGTAAAGTAGCAGTGAGAGATTTTGGGGTCTCAATTTTGAGAACGTGCTTGTAGTAAACACTAAAAAACATCTATGGGCCATCAAAACATTAAGAAGAAGCATGTGATTTGTTCTCAGTCTCTAGTGCTATTTGAAATTGAACTGAAACAACAGTGTTAAATTAAAGTCTATATATGATCTTTATATTATTCTTTTTCTGTATTTATTATGTTAGCTTGCATTTTTTTCCCTTATCCAAGGTAACGAGGAGATTGACGAAGATGTCGCACATCGCATCGGAGCGGGATGAATGAAATGGAGGCTCGCTTCCGGGTTTTTTAGGTGATAAGAATATGCCGCCAAGACTTAAAGGTAAGCTTTATAGAATGGTGGTTCGGCCGACTATGCTCTATGGGGCTGAGTGTTGGTCAGTCAAAAGCTCCCACATGCAGAAGATAAAAGTAGCAGAGATAAGAATGTTGAGATAGATGTGTGGGTGTACTAGGAGAGATGAGATTAAGAATGAAGCTATCCGGGACAGAGTGGGAACCGTGGAGGACAAGATGCAGGAGTTGAGGCTGAGATGGTTTGGACATGTTGAGAGGAGAAGCATTGATGCTCCCGTTAGGAGGTGTGAGAGTGGCCATGGCGAGTTTGAGAAGAGGTCGAGGTAAGCCTAAAAGCACTGGGGAAAGGTAATTAGGCAGGACATGACACTGCTTCAGCTCACTAAGAACATGACCCTTGATATGAGGGTGTGGAGGTCAAAAATTAGAGTAGAAAGTTAGTAGGTGGTTTCTTAGTTGCTCACCAATAGTCCTATTCTTAAATCTTTATTTTGTTCGCCCCAGGTATTGTATTCCCCGTTGCTATTATTTGGTACTACTTATTCTTTATCTCCCTCTTTTTTCTTCTCTTCCTTTCTTGCTTTTCTCCTCCTCCTCCTCCTCCTCCTTCTCCTCACCCTTTCCAAGCTGAGAGGCTATTGGAAACAGCCTCTCTACCTGCATTAAGTAGGGATAAGGTCTGCGTACAGATTACTCTCCCCAGACCCCACCTGTTTGAAAATAAATTGGGTTTGTTGTTGTTGCATTTTTTTCCCCCAAAGTTAGCTTGTATTTGACCGAACGAAATTTTGGCTTTTTCTAAGTTGGCGTTTGTGAATTAGAGACAAGTCAATTTGTACGCATTTATATTTGTAAAACAAATGAAACTATACTACTAAAATGCGGTTGAAATTTCTGGGGTTAGATGCTACAAACACGAGGCTAGGGTAAGTCCACACTTTTTGGATAGATCTAGATCTAAGACATGAGAAATCAGTCAATTCCAACTAAAAACAGTTTAGAGCGAAAACATTGAATTCTATTGTCTTATGTTAGGAGTCGTACTCAAAGCTTGACGATTCCAGCCTGATAGATCGAACTAAGCGAGAGAATGATCTTCTTAGATCTTTCGTACTAATATTATGTTAACGTAATACTTGATGGAATTAAGGTGATGGATCGGACCACAGAAATGGGATTCATTGATCAATGAATATATTGATAATTAACTACGTTAGGAGGTGTTATTTGACATTCCTACATAGCCCTTCTCAGTTTGGTGAGGAGGAACACTTTAACTGGTTATTCCTTAGAAGCTTTTGGAACGGACTAGTAAATTAATTAAGCCACGCATTAGTTTTAACAACTATAATCTTGGGCTTTTAATTTTATTATTATTATAAAACACATATGTACTTGGCATCCTGGTGTACTTAGTAGGAGGATTTTTCTAGCAACAGCTAGCGTGCAGTAAAATAATTTCAAATAGAACCTTGCTTGTTATATATATACCATGTTCATTGGAAAGGTTCTAGTAATGGATTGTTATGCAATAAGTTATCTTTTTTTGGTACATTGAAAAAATTATGCTATCCAGCTGAGACTACTAACAAACTTTTCATACTTTCTTGGCCAGTTTATTCTTTGTAGCAGTATTAATCATATGGTAATGTTGTGTACAACGAAGATATAACTGCAAAAAAGGGCATGAATCATTCCATGTGCTAGAAACAGAGAGTTGATATATTAGTCTTATGATTATAAGTAAGTCAAAGACTAGTATATATATTGAGATCATTATTAAGAAATGAAAGCAATGTGTGATGTGCAACTCTTTCATGCATACTCATCTGGAAGGAATCAAATGAAAAGGAATATATATGTAATAATAATTATGATCTTAGTCCAAAGATATATGTCAAATCTTTTGTTCCAATATCCTATTCATCTGATTATAAATGCATTTAATCATTGGCAAGTTGGTTAACAATTAATCACCCTTAGACTATTCCATTCTCCATTTTATTCCTAGCTACAAATACAATTGTTCATATCTTAACAAGTTCGATTTGTCATCATATGAAGGAACCGCTTACATTATTTCTCTTCCACTCTCTTTTATTTATTTATTTTTTTTTTTTTTGAACTATTTCATCACATTGTTTAATTAGGACATAAGATGATCCGAAAGAACTGGTATGTATCAGTGAGCACATGACCCCTAAATAAAATTTTGAAACCTTATGAGATTCATTTAAATTGTTCTGAGTCATGGCCTTTTAAATGGGATCTAAGTTGTATACAATTACAATATAATAAAAAGTTGTATACGATGACAGTGCTAAAGAATTTTACACTATATAATTTATTGGTTGTACTCCCTCTTTTCTAATTTATGAAATAAAATTTGATTCAGGATGGTATTTAAGAAAGAAATAAATATTTTGAAATCTGTGACCTTAAACATCCCGTAATATTTTCTAAAAGTTTTTCATTAAGAGTAAATTGAAAAGCCTAAGTGAAATTACTTTCAAATATATAAGTTTATTTTTCTTTTTGGAACAAATTAATTAGAAAATGTGTAACATAAACTATAACGGATGAGTACCTAATTTTTGCTCCATTTTCAAGGCTATGACAGACAAAAGAGCTACACTTATTATTGTAGATTGGTAGTAATTCAATTTTGCTTGATGAGGCAAAAATTCATATATTGTCAAGTCAATACACTCAACTTAATTAACTTTTTAACTAAATCTACCAAAACTAATTCTTCATATGCAAGTACGTATTGAGTACCCAAAAAATGTGTTGAAATAACGAGTGGTTGCTGTCAAAACTCAGAACTCATAACTGTACTGACTGAGACTTGAAAGGAACTTGAGAAGTAGTACATTCCTTTTGTAATACTTCGAATTTTATCCCTACCTCTTTAAGTATGCACAAAAATGGCAAATTGAAGAGTCATTTTCTCATTCATCATTTTCATTGCAGGCCGTACTACTGCACCCAACATTATTGAGAAGTGTTCTGTTTTCTTTCCATCTAAAGGCTTATCATTTTGATCTCCCAATCGTGTCGTCGACATCAGCACTTAATTTGTGACGAAAGGACCGGGGCGGCTTAACAGATTTTGTGGCCTCAAGCCAAAACATATTAAAAGATCCTTAAATTTCTTTTGCAATATCTATACTATAATAATGAGATACAAAGTAAATTTCTAGGACTTTGGCGCGCATGTCACAGTTTAGAAATATGTCAAAAATAAAAATATGGTATTAATTAAGTGGAAGAAGGTAGAGAGCGTACGGCGATAATATATCGACTGTCTAATAATAATTACATAAAATATACGTGACACATAGTAATTAAAATTTGAG